TTCACTAATTACCAGGTAGCAGCTGAATCCTGTGTTGATATTCCTCAGGCAAGGGGAACTCTGCCTTCAGGCATGTAAACAGGGCAAGGTGTGATCCAGGTAGTCATTTCTGCTGGATCCTTGCCTCAGCTGATGGATAGTCACTGCTTTAACTTTCCAGTTAAGGGCTAGGACTCTCCCTTCTCATCCTTCCACATGCTGGAAAGTCATCCTCTCCTTCCAGCTTTGCTCTGCAGTCTGACTGTTCTTGGAGCTATGATTTGCATTGGATTTTCCAAAGCAACAATCCAGGTGAAGCCTTTAACAGTGACTGTGTCCTACTCTAACTGCTCTCCAGAAGGCTGAGACCTGAGCAGGTCCTTGCAGTCCTGATCATGATCTGGCTCATGCTCTGTGGATGATCTACTCTGGAATGTTGTCTAATGAAGTGCAAGAGAAGAGTGATGAAGGGCAGGAGACTGAGCAAGATGAAGCACAGCTGGGGTGTGACACCCTGTGATGCTGCTGAGGCACATCTGGTGCTTGCAGAAAACCTGTCCTAAATATTCCTGCTCAAGGTCAAACCCCTTTGTGCACCTACAGCAGGTCCCAAGGCAGCGTGGGTGCTGGAGATAATGATCACTGCCCCTCACAGGTCAGGCATGGAGAGTCCAAGTGTGCCCCTGGAGTAATTTGCATGCCCAGCCCTGGTTAGACACATCTGGAGCACAGAGCCCAACTCACTTTCAGTGCCATCAGCCTCTGCCTGCTCCTCTCGCTGCTTCTGCTTGAACTTCATGTTGCCAAAGTGCATGATAGCCCCCACGATTTTATAGGAGCCATATTTCTCATCATTGCTGAAGCCCAAGATGTCCATGGCATGCTGAGGAGAGACAAAGCAGTACAGACAGAACAAAATCACCACTCTGAGGTGAGGGTTGGTGTTCTCACCATCTCCTAAGGTGCTCTCCCTATCCTGGGGCTCTGGGCAGGGTACTCTGTCTGGTGAGCACCTTATCAAGGAATCCTGTCCACGGGATTTTGAATGTGAGTCCAGCTCCCACAAGACCTATTGGAAAGGAAAAGGACTAACCTAGCATCCACAAGAAGGAGGTTTTCCAAGCTGAGGTCTCAAGAGAAGACCTTATTGCTCACTACAACTACCTGAAAGGAGGTTGTAGCCAGGTGGGGTTTGGCCTCTTCTCCCAAGTAACAAGCAACAGGACAAGAGGAAATGGCCTCAAGCTGTGCTAAGGGAGGTTCAGGTTGGACATCAGGAAGAATTTCCTCACTGACAGGGTGGTTAAGCATTGGAACAGGCTGTCCAGGGAGGTGCTGGAATCGCCATCCCTGGAGGCATTCAAGAAATCACTGGACATGACACTCAGTGCTCTGACTAGATACCAAGGTGGTGATGGGTCACAGGTTGGACTTGATGATCTTGAAGGTCTTTTCCAACCTCAGTGATTCTATGCTTCTATGGTCTTCTTTCTCATGGGTATCATGGAAAGTGCTCATGTGCTACAGGCCCTTCCTAAGGCAGGGAATTACTCTCCCTTTCCTGCCTGGATGAGGCTGTTGATGGAGATCAGAATCACTCTGCTCCACAGGGAACTCACAGCTAATTTAGAGAGGGACACATGAAAAGTCAGGACACATCCCCACAGCTGCCCAGAAGGAGGTTATGCCCTGCTCAGTCCCCTGGCTCGGGGATCACCATCTACACATACATCTGTTGCCATGAGCTCCTCGCCATCATCCAGGTTGTCCACAGTTGTCACCCCCTGGGAACAGAAGTGGTAGTCATAGGGGTTGAGGGAGAGCAGCAGCATATCTGTTGGGGGAAAACGTAGAGGGTGAGGCCAGTCTGACAGAGCTGGGGCAGAGGGACAGCCCTGGACACGGATGCAGAGGGAAGGCTTCACCAGCCTCAACTAGAGGGCACCAGCTGGTGGAGGAACAGTCTCTTCCAGCACAGGCAGGTCCTCACATGGGTCCACCTCTTCTGTGATTGCCTCCTGCTTGCTATCTTGGGATATGGCTTGGCTGCAGACTGATTTAGCAGTGGCCACCATGCCCTTGTGACAGCAGATAAGATTACTGCTCTGTGCTGCTCTCCAGACCTGCCTAATAAGGTATTGTTCAGCACCAAGCTCAGGAGGCTGCAGCCAGGAGCTGAGCACCCCAGGGAGCTGTGCCAGCCATCCTTCTGCATGTGGAAAGGTTTCCTATGCGCTCTGTGTGATGTGGGACCTGGAGGGCAGAGCTCCTCAGAGCACAGAGCTGACCCATCACAAACTCAAGTTAGCTGGAGCTGTCCTGGGGATCATATAGGATAGGTCTACACCGGGGCCCTGATTTAGCTGTGCAGCTGCTTTCAAGCTCACCTGAAACAGGTCGTCCCACTAGGGAGGCTGAAGGAGCTCAGAGTAGGCTGAAAAATACTTCCCCCTACCCCAAAGTGAGTAAATCTCCAGCCTGCACATGCTGAGGTCAGTGCTGCACCCACCACACAACAAGGGCTCTGTGAAAGACAGCTCAGCAACGCACACTCCCACCCTGCAGATAGACCCTGAGTGACCTCTTCTCCTAGACAGTGACAGAAAGAGCTTTAGTCTGGCATCTCAGCCTGTGAGGATAATGGAGGCTGGACTAGATGACCTCCTGAAATCCCTTCCACCCTGAATTATCCATCAATCCTATGATCCCACACAGCTAGCAAAGCATTCAAGTGCAGTACCTGAATGGTGAGCTGGATTTGCTCATTTCTGTAGACCCCAAAGCTGACAACAGAGCTCTCTGTGGCCATCATGCTACAGGGGCTATGCTGCATCTTTGGCTGCCTTACCTTGCAGCTCTGGTTTCTTCCCAGAGAGGATCTGGTAGTAGATGTGGTAGCTTCGCTCTTTGGGCTGCTGGAAAATCACTCTGGATTTTTCCAGAAGATCTAAAATGAAGTGGGGCAGAGAGGTCAGAGGAGGGCTTGTTCTTTCCCATCAGCACAAATAGTGGGATGAATTCCCTTCCCACTGCAGCTGGTACTTGTCTACTCACAGATGTCAATGTCCGCAGAGGCCAACTTCCCGGAGGGGCCGAAGTGGATCCGGATGAACTTGCCCTGAAAAAACATGCAGGAGGTAAGTGCTGGGCTTGGCTACACAGCTACAATTCTGAACAGCCTCTAGAAACCGAAGCAATTTCCTACTTCTTGAGCTTCTGCTGATGCCAGGCAAGTTACTGAGCTCTCTGAGAAGTTCTCTGCTTTGTAGTCTGCAGAGGCTCAGACAGCATTGCTCAAGGTTTTAAACACTTGGCAGGCAGAAATTTCACTGACAGCAGATAAATCCCTGTCTTCAGACCTGTTCTTAATGCTAAGCACTTCTGCAGGGAGGTGTGATGCTCAGCCTGCCCACAGCCCCCTGCTCTGTGGAGTGCTGAGGGGTCTCACCCAGCAGTGCCCACTTCCCCTCCAAGGCACAGGAGCTCTGCAGCCAACAGCAGAGCCAGGCTGGGCTTAACAAAAAGTGCCCTGGAAGGGGCACTTGGGTCTGTCCCAGCCCCAGCACAGACTCCAGGCTGTGCTTACTGTCCTGCTCAACTTTGGTCCATTCATGCTTATCACCATTTACTGCACTGCTGCCACCAGAAGGACTTAGCCTCAGCAGCCCAATCCCACTAAGAAGCAGATCCATCTCCCTGCTACATACATGCCTTTGGCTCCCACTGTGCAAACCCACAATGCCACCAGCCATGCATCCAGCCTGCAGAAACATTCACAGCTCTCTGTCCTGCTCAGACACTTACAAAACGGGAGGAGTTGTCATTTCTTATGGTTTTGGCATTGCCAAAAGCTTCCATAGCTGGGTTAGCCTCAATGATTTGATCTTCGAGGGTGCCCTGGAAAACAAAACCAAAAGATGTGTCAGCTCCCACCCAGCTGGAGGGAATCTATTCCCAGCAACACATGGAGCAGTGAGAGGGGCTCCTTGCTGTCTTTGGGAGCCTCCTGCTCCTCAGGCGTCTCCTAGTCTCATGAGGCAATGCAGCTCCATTTAGGGGTGGGCAGAGCTAGCTTTTGAGTAGTGCTTTCTGTGGACTTCTCCTTGCCTAAACTGGTCCCTCTGGAGACCCAGGCTACTGTCCCCTCTGCACACAACAGCCCTTAGCACCTTTCTTAGCACCAGGAGCTACAATATGCAAACCAAGAGCAAGCAGGCTCAGTTGCTTGACATGCTTGTTGTCACCACAACAGACTGAATCATTTCAGGCTCTCACTCTGCCAGGCATTTCCTCATCCACCAAACCAAAGTCTTGGACAGTTCTCATCACAGCACATTGCAAAAGAAAAGACTCAGAAAACAGGCTGGATCAACAACTCCCTACATCAACAAGCACAGCAGGGTCATGGTGTGATGGGAACACACCACAAGTCCCAGCTGGTGCGACCTGATGGACACACTAGAGCTCTCCTGAGCAAGCCCCAAGATCAATCTTCTCTTAATCTTGTTTTTCCATTCATGTTTCACAGGCACAGTTCAATTGCAAAGAGACAGCCTCCACCTAATGCAAGTAAAGCAGGACAAGAATTTGAGGAGAGAAGCAAGAGGCTGATGCCAAGCCACAGGAAGGATAGTGGGCAGAGTTTGATGACACAAGCACCTGCAGGCTTTTCATGAGAGCTTTTGCCCATGCTCTGATACATTACAATCCACAGGGCTGTCTTTAGGTGGGGGACACCAGCTCTGGGTTCTGCCCACCCATGGCTCCACTCTCTTTCCAATGTTTTACCCATGACTGCTCTCACCTCTGCAGCTCCAGGTGTGTGAGGGGCAAAATAGAGAAGGAGCAGCTGTGAATCACACCATTTCCAACAGACTGTGCCTTGTCACCTGGATATCCTTTGATCTGCTATCTTTAAATTCAGCCTTATCTAAAATTAGCTAGCCTGTGAGGTCCAATGGGGCATCCACAGACTGAGCCCCACAGCTATCTCATCTAAAATTAGCTGGCCTGTGAGGTCCAATGGGGGATCCACAGACTGAGCCCCACAGCTATCTCACTCAAAGTTTGCCCAAGTGGTCTGAGACTACTGTGATAATAAACATCTCCCAGCAAAGAGTTTGCATCAGCTAAAAGCTCAGCAAAAACGAGAGCTGAGGATGTATGACTGAGCTGTTGGAACAGCTGAGCCCTTGGGGTGCTGGGAGTGCCAGGGACTGAACCTTTGTGGGTTTCCTTGGAGCTAAACAAGAAATGCACCCCAGAGAAGGACATCAGCTGCGTGCAGCGTGGTGGGCTGAGGCAGCCCAGGGCTTTGCAGAGGGTGGCATGTTCAGGCATCAGCAGGGCACTGGTCTGCAGCCAGAGCACAGGGCTGCCTGTGGCAAAGAGTGTCTTCTTCCCCTCAGCTGGGCTTTGAGAGTGGGAGGGACACTAACAGCTGAGAGTGGAGGCTTCACACATCTTTGGAGAAGCTCACACCACCCCCAGGCAAACACTGGGCTGGTTAGAAATGTTTGAAGAGTATTGATACCTCAAAGGAGAGATTTGAGTAAGAAAGGCAGAAAGTCACTAAGAGATGAAACACCAAAGCTTCCAACTGTGAGACAGTGGGAGGACTAAAGTTCTCCAGGTGGAGAGCTAAACACTGCCCAGGTGCTGGGGCAACTCTGGCCTCCAGACTTGGGATAGAGGCCCTACACAGGCATTTCTCATCACCCTGTCACAGCTCTGTGGTGCACAGAACTCTGTCCTCAGCATTAGAGTCCACAACACTTACCCCAGTTTTAGTGGCAAGAGCTGCCTAGAGAAAGGAAAGAAAATTGTCTTTAGAAAACCAGAAAAACCAGGCAAGAACCACAAGAAGCATGGTCAGAAAAGCAGGGCATGACCATTTAGTGCCAAAAAAAAAAAAGTCCAAGAAACAAAAGGATTAAACTTTATAAGAAATGCCAAAAAGTTGTTAAATAGATTAGCTCAAGAAAAGAAAGAAATGCACCAAAAAGCAAGAACAGTTAAATTCAAACCCAAAGAAGAGGAAAGAAAACAATGCTGAAGTCTTGCTTGTCTGATACCTAAAGCATCCAGTTTGCTTCCACAAGGGAAAAGCAGCTGGAGCCTCAATGTATCCAGAAGAAATAAGCAATTGCAAGGGCAGCTCAAAAATAACTAGCACCAAAGAAATGCAAGAATTAAAACAAGAGCAAGAAAAGCACAAGGTAGAAAAGGGTCAAAATGAACAAGAGGAGAAAAAGAAAAGGAGAAAAGGTTGAAAAGCAAGGCTTAAAAATGGCAAGGTGGGAAATGGAAGGTTTACTCCATCCTTTTAATGCTCCTTAAGAAGATCAGTTGGGGTGCTGAAGGAGGAAAAGAAGAGAAAGAGAGCAACTAAAGCATCTCATTCAGGCTGCATGGATTGATCAGCCACAAAAAAAAAAAAAAAAAAACCACCAAAAAACAACTCCATTTCCCCTTGAGCAGAATAATTTCAAGCCTTGCTTGTTCAAAAGTCAGGGAAAAGCCAAGCCCTGGGTGGGTCAGACCAAAACACACTCCCAAATGCAAAAAGTTGGGGGAAGAAAAAAAAAAAGAGGCAAGAAGAAGAAAGGGGGAGAGGAAAAAAAAAAGCAAGAAAAAAAAAAAGAAAGAAAACAGCAAGAACTTGTTTCAAAAGAAGGTCTTACTAATTTCTTGCCGGGTGTGCAAGAAAAAAAAAAAAGAAAGAAAACAGCAAGAGCTTGTTTCAAAAGAAGGTCTTACTAATTTCTTGCCGGGTGTGTCGCCCAAGGCTGCGACAATGGCAAAGTACTGAATGACTCGCTTGGTGTTTACAGTCTTACCAGCACCAGATTCTCCGCTTAGAGTAACAGAAATACACAGATCAAGGGCATGAGGCAAAGAACAGGCACCACTTCCAAGGGAGCCCAGCGAGGCCGC